CCCCCCCCCCATTTCTTTTTTTTCTGCATCTGGAAATCGAGAGTCTGATTATTTCACCACTTTCAGTTCAGTTCTGACTCAGAGACGAAAACACAGGAGAACAAGTCAAGTCTTTGAAATCAGTAACAAACTGTCTTTGTTGCAGATTATATTTTGAGGAGAACAGCCATTTAGAAACCCAGTTACATTCCTGAATGCAATAAATGCAACATTTGTAAAAAAGGCTGCAGTTTATTTTCAATTCCAAGAAATAGGAATATATTGCACGACAAAAAACAAGTCACTGATGTCAATTAAATAACTGGTTTTAGTGCTTGGTCCTGTGTTTTGCTGCCAGAACTGAAATGCTACAGTAAAAATGTATTCAGTATATATAAAGTAATAATATCACACCTGTCAAAATGTATTGCTCAGCCTGTATTCGAACAAAATCATTAGAAAGACAGACTGAGAAGACCAAGAGACCACAGACAATGATTAATAAGTCGGACGTTTGATTCACAATTGGAAACACAATCCTTTAGATACACCTCTTATAGGAACCCAAATGTAAAAATCTAAAATCTGCTCATTCACAGTTAATGAATTATCTCCGGAAGTTGTTAACTGATAGAATCAACAGTTCAAATCATTATTATTTCAGTATTTGTCAGTTTTTTTATGAAAGAAGCCTCAAAATCAGTCACATGTCAACATCATCTTTCAGGTAAGACAAGAGAGAGTTCTTCCTCTACATAAAAGCTTCTGATAGAGCTCTCGGTCTGAAACCACCACTGCTGCTGCTGTCCTCTCTCTCCTCGGCGGGGTCCTCGCTCTGGGAGTAAATTGCTGCCCTTTGCTTGTGCTTCTTCTTGTGGCCCGTCATGTGCGGCTGGAAGAGGCGGCTTATTGAATGAAGACCCTTGGAGAGATCTGGGAACAGCTCTGGGTCTTCTTTCTCGGACGGGGCCCTGTCTGGAGCCGGCTGGACCTTGGGTTCACACAGCATCTCTCTCACGCTCTTGGAAACACCCTTGTGCAGATAGTGGTAGGCCCTCTTCCCGCAGTTGTCCCTGACCCTCACGTCGGCGCCGTGCTCCCCAACCAGCATGGCCATGATGTACTCCTGGTCGTGCAAGGCGGCAATGTGCAAAGGAGTGTAACCGCCATGTGTCCTCGCGTTTATGTCGACTTCAACTCCCCCTTGCCTCGACAGGTCAACAATCTTGGTGAGCATTTCGCTGTTCCCGCACTTGGCTGCCCAGTGCAGGGCTGTGAACCCTGACATGAAGTCCCTCTTCTCGGCCAGCTGGTTGTCTCTCAGCAGCAGGCCGTACGCCTGGCTCCAGTGGCCAGCGGCACACTTCACCAGCCACTCGTGCTCTGACTGCTCTAGGGGAATCAGGGAGGGAACCCTCGTCTCTTTCTGCTCCTCTGAAGCCTTGGTGCTCTTCACCGCCCTCCTCAGCTGGGGCGAGCCCACCCTGTCCTCCACTGAAGGGGGTCCTCTCTTGTACCTGTGGGCATCTGGTGTTGGACTTTCAGGAGGATCATCTGGGTCCACCTTCAGCTTGCGGACCTCCACCCTGGTGGCGCTGGGAGGCACTCTCAGAGGCAAGGCGAAAGGTTTGCTCTGGATGGTTTTGGACTCTGTTGCTTCACCCCTTGTCGAGGAACCATCTCCCTGGCTCTGGATCTCAAAATTCAGCATCCTTTTAACCCTGGTGTCCGTGAACTTGGTCCTCTGCAGAGCCAGCTGTATGGGACACAGGGATTCAGTTGGGTTGTCACTACTTTCACCCGCATGATCCACTTCAGGAACATCTGACTCGTCTTCTCCTGGATCCGCAGAGCCCTGCTCCCGCACAGGTGGGCGCTGCTGCTCCTCACCTGTCCCCGCTGTCCTTTCACTCCCCGGCTCCTCCTCACGGCTGCGGTCGGTCTGGTCTCCCTCCAGTAAATGCTGATACACTTTCTTGACGACAACGTAGCGGACACCGTCAATTTCTCTGACGACGGCGACGTTGTTGACGAAGGTCTTGAAAAGCTCCCGGTTCCTGTCCCTCTCTGCGGGATCCACGCAGTCCACGCAGCCTCTAAACTTCCTCACCAGCTCGGACTTCTTCACTCTGCCTCCCTCTGATACGAGCAGAGACAGGACGGACTCCTGCGTCAACGCCATGATGTTCACACTACTCCAGGATTCACTCTGGTTCAAGTTAAAATGGTTTAACTCCGGTAATAGACGCTTTGTTTCACCTTTGTCCTGGAGTCAGGGCAGCACCTCCACCTGGCCGCTCACTTCTCCTCCTCCTCCTCCTCCTCTTCCCCACCTGCAGGAGGCTTTTTCCGGTAAAAGTGCGGACGTGGATACAATTTGAATAAAATATGCAAACTTCACTGAGTTAAAGTGTCTGTTCTCTGCTGACGCTGGGAAAAAGTTAATCCTTTCTTTCTTTCCATTTTTCCTTCTTTCTTCCTGGGTTAGAATTAAACATGAAAAATGATTTAACA